TAATTCTAGGCTGTGTATACACAGTAGAAAACACCCAGAAAGTGCTGTTTCCGGCCATCTGGGGGCTTTTAGATTCCAAAAATTTTCTGGTACGCTCCGCGCCAACCGATGGTGGCGCTCCGCTTAGATAGTCCCGCCGGCACTAAAACCATCCTGGGCAGAACCCTGGAAAATGTGTATACTCATGAGTAAATAGTGATGTAATCCAAAGATAGAACCTCAGTAGTACATTTAAATGTATTTCAGCATGAACAGTTGCAAAAATTTTAGACTTTCTTTTACCGTTTTACATCTTTTGCTTTGACTATATGTGTTGGTTTATGTTAGCCTGTAAACAATGTTTTTTTCAAAACTTTCTTTCAGTGAGCAAATTTGGGGCCGACAACTAGAGAAAAAAATCTCTTACTAAGGGTGTCAGTGACATGACATCGTAGAACACAGTGCCCTCTTTTGTCATGAAAAGTATGGGAAATTCATATACATGCATTTAAAAAGTTTCAATACAGTTGACCAAAGAGTTGCATAGTTTTCATACATTTGGAAGTAGATGTTCTTGCAAAATTTGAATCTAAGAAAAAAATCATCCCAGGGGCCTTTTAAATTTTTTGTGGGGTTCCAAAGTTTAACATTGTTATCCTTATAAATTAACTAGTAGTGGTAAAAACCATCTGCTATAATGCTGTGCGGCTCCTCGGGAAAATAGAAGGCTCCATGGATCACCACAGGAGGTGACACGGTGAAACTAGCCGCCCATGTTGATCTATGGATTTTTTTTTATTTACCCTACGTGTGATTAACCAGTCAATATTTGTTTCGTGACACCCATCTCCTGCTTGATTTAATTGACAGCTGATGCATATGATCCAATGCATGTTAAAGAAATGCATTAGAAATTTGTTGACATTTACCAGCATTTTCCGTACCAAATTATACCTTTCGCAAATGTTTATTAACTCAGCTCTATAGTGCTAATACTTTGAAATGTTTGGTTGCTAGGGGTATAATTTCCCCCCTTGTGAATCAAAATGGCAAAACGCATACAACCGAATGCCACGTGACTAGCTGTTCGACTTTTAGTCGGCAGATACATCTCAGATTGTTACTTGAGCTCTTTGTTGGCTATTTTCATGGAAAGATGTTTTATATTTGGGGCCAAGTATTTGGATATCCCATGACTTAATAAAACAGTTAAAGCTCACCTCTAAGGAAAACATGTTTCCTCTAATTTTATCTGTTCAAATAAAAATATGGAAGCGTCCAAATCGAAGGCAGTGTCGTTTGTCATCAGAACTCAAGTATAACAAGCTTAAAAGGTCATTCTTCTGTTCATACCAAGATGCGAATTCCGAATGTAGATCGCGTCATTCGGAGAAAACAAGGGAACCCTTGGCCTGTCACGGTTTGTTGTGGATAACTGGAACCTTTGTGTTTGCCATAACAACGGTATGCTTTGTTTGGCATGCACTCATTGTGTCCTTGCTCTATGGTTCGCCGCGCCACACCCAGCGGATTCGGATACCGGCACGTGCTTGGCCTGGAATTAAGTGAGAGTGGTGTAATGCATAATATGGTGCGAGTCAATTAAGTTAATAAAATGCCCAAAAAGGTAGCCATAAAATCACATCAATCTTATCTTAGAAANGGTAGTTGTGTTTGCAGGGGGTTTGCACTGATGGGGAGCTCAGGATGCACTGACATATTGTACATATGAAAATAGTCTCCACTGACTTCTCTGCACCAAGTATGTCAAGATTGGGGGGAACTGTGTACACACCATCTTGAGGAGTAGTAGGGATAGGAGAGTTCTGGATCACACACCCCTTTTTACCCCGTTTTTGCTAAAAACCCTTGGGTAGTACATCGACTCAAAAAATTGTCGAAACCTTTTTGGTGAGAAAAAATGGGAAAATCTAGAAATGAGGCGAGCCCCGTTTTTGCCCACCACCCCTGGGTAGTACATCGACTCACCCATCACACGCACCGCTCGCTACGCTCGCTCACCTTTTGACCCCGGCGCCGCTCGCTTTGCTCGCTATAAACAACTCGTGACTAGCGCCAGGGATTTCCACTTCACTGACCTTGAACTTTTGACCCCGGCTGTAAACAACTCGTGATTGCACCAGCAATCACTCGCAAACAAAAAGGGACTTTCCCTTGCTACAAGTCGAGACTTGCCCGTCATAAAATATGATAAAAAAATAAACAAACAATAATAAAAATACATAAAAATAAATGGTAGATAAAACTACAAATGTGAATTGTTATTTTTGCAAATACACGAGAAATTCGATCGACTTGATAGATTCATACGATTGCTTTCGTTGTCTAAATTCCAAAAGTTTACGCAAATGCATCGATTGTAAAGAATGCCACAATTGTCATGAATGTCAAGACTGCGTCAGATGTAAGGACTGCTCCACCAGCGACGATTGCAGTAGATGTATAAATTGCGTGGCTTGTTTTAATTCATACGACTGCAGAAATTCAAATGCCTTGGACAGTTGCGAGGACTGTTTTGAGTGTGCCAATTGTATTGAGTGTTTTGGTTGTACCTATTGCACCTGCTGCGTAAATTGTGTCGAGTTGGAAGGAATGGATCACGTGGTGCTCGTAGACGGCAAACATAAAAAGCTGAGGCACGCGCGAGAGAATGAGTCACTGCCCAATTCATCGACTAAACTCGACGCGGACTTATATGAAATTGGATTAATTATTAAATATGACGCTGACGTAGAAAATTTAATTAAAGTAGAAATCCCGCCCGAAT